ACAGAGACAGGGGAGAGAGGGGGGAGGAGAGAGAGAGAGAGAGAGAGAGAGAGAGAGAGAGAGAGAGAGAGAGAGAGAGATATATAGGGGTCATGACATGGGGGGATCAGGTTTTACAAATGTGTTTGAGTGCTACATTCCTGTAAACTGTCGCTTTTTTCATCACATATGCCTGATATGCTTATATGAATAAGCCTATAGAATTCTTATACAAAATATCGGGTACCACTCCCTAAAAAGGCACAATTTATGGGTTCATGAGTTGAAATGAATGGCTTTATTGACAGTTAATACATCATTTGGGCTAATGCGTTATAGCTCAGGTACATTTAATTATTGATACGAAGAAACATGGGGTTGCCAGGTTGGGTAAAAAAGAGCGTTTACCACATATATCTCAAGAAGACTAAGACGCTATCCATGCAGACTACTGCAGACGTCAACCCTGTTTAATGACCTATTAACATTTATAACTGCGGACTCAATTACATAATAGAAAGGGAGAAACCCATGAGCATCTATTAATATATTACTGACATTTATAACTGAATTATTACCACAGAGAAAGGATAAACACCTGCCAACCACCTACTGCAACCCTACATTTGTTATTAATAGCTTGGTTACTGGTTAATGCACACACACAAACATAACCATGCTCTCACTAGCTCAGGCTATTGTTTTTGATATGTCTATTGTCAAAATGTTTTTTAGATATTTAAAAAAAAATGCTGAATGATTATTTCTGACTTTAGCTTTGAGGTTGCCACCAGGCGATGTATGTGATTAAGAAGGTTGTGTCTGACACTTTGATTAAACTTGATTTTTTAAACTAACTCTTTAAAACTACAAGAGACAGGAAACAACAACAAAAAAAAAAGACTACTTTGTCCTTTCAGATCGGTAATTAGGCTTTATTCGGTTACAATAACTGTTGTTTCTGACAATTTGTAAGCTATTGCGGTCACATCAAAGAGTAACATGCTGTTGTTTACAAGCCCAAGGTGAGTTATGCTTTGATTTTGATTTTTGGGCTTCATTCTTGCAGCCCACTTGTTGTGGTCGGGTTTTGTCTCTTAACAGCCATGACCGCTGACCCTTGACATCAACGGAGAAGACAGGCCACAGTCATGTGCCACCATGGTATCAGCATCTGCCAAGCGAGTAAAAACAAAACAAAAACAAAAAACAAACTCAATTCATGCTATGGCTTATCTACCCTGCATCCTAGAGGCCTACAGTGAAGATGGTTTAGGACAAGTGTGTGTGTGTGTGTGTGTGTTGTAGTGGGAGGTCAAGGTACAGAGACAGGCAGTATTTATGTGTGTGTCCATGCTGGGGCCCAGTTGGGGAAGACATACTCTTTTGGGGGGCTAAAGTTCAGACGTTCGTTAAGAGTGTTTTGACCTTTTTTAGCACGTTCTGTCTCATCCTGCTTCAAAACATCATCCCACAGCTTCCCTCACACAACCCCCGATGACCACCCACGCAATGACCCTTCACCCCGACACTGAACACACTAATGCATACAGACACCACTGTGCAAACAGCACACGTGCAGTAGCCTCTCCTGCTCGGACTCTCACATGACCATGTTGTGAATAACATGTCTGCCTCTGGATGTGTTTCTGCATTCATTCAGTATCTGCTTTGTGATTACTGAACTCAAGAGGAAGCTTTGACCCTGACATCTGGGTGTTTAAACTCAGATCAGTTGCTTGTCTTGCTCTTATGTATTCGGTTCACCATTTAATTGACTTCAAGAAGTCGATTAAGTTACATGAAAGTAAACATACTGCTGTTGAGTTTAAAAAAAATACAACACACTTTTGAAGCTTTCAGCAAAGCTAGGGGTAAATAAGAAGATATGATTTTGTGATTTAGCTGAACTGATATGGAGGACCATGAGTATCACTTATACTTAATAAGTGAAGTGGTTAAAAAGTGATTAATCCATTGATTTATTCTTGCAAGTTTTTGCACCAAGCCAAAAAAATAGGAGAAAAAAAATGAACGATTGGGTATTTTATTAATTGAAGTTTAAAAGGACAATAAGGATAATTAAAATAATTTACAAATATTATCCATAAATTGAATCACTTCAGTGTAATACGTAAAAGCGTATTTAACTTAACACAGCACACAGCACACACGTTATACATGCAAACGAACAGAGGGCATCAGATTTGTGGACACACTCTGACACACATTTGTGTTAACGTGCGGATCAATGTCAAAAACAAGTAGTTAAATCAATAAAGTTATGTAAGCTGCAATGACACGCGCAAATACCCAAAACTGATGGACTGAGGTTTAAGACTGGAAACTGCTGAGAAGTCCCTTTTATCCTGTGAGGAAAAACAAAACCAGACAGGGACGCCGCTTGTGGCTTACGTCTATGACTTTTTACACAACATGCCACCGTTATGCATGCCTCTGCAGGGTCGATGGTATAGTTTACAACACATATAGCTGACAAGACAGGCTCATGCAAAGTGTGCTGAGCCAGTCATCGCTCAACGCACTGCGACTTCAAGTTGCACACCTCATATAGTAATAGTTCATGTCCCGTCTCAAACAGGCAGATAGGCCCTGTATATGTCTCATGTGGTGGAATCAGCAGGTTTGCCTCGAAAATGTAAGCCTCGGAATACTTTTGGGTGGATTTTGGCTTTGAAATGCCTAACTGAGAAAATCTACCCCACCTACTGGTTCTGTTGTATGATTACACAGGAGACAAAGTTATTCCCATCACTCAGAGGAAAGAATTGACTTCAAAAACTAACACAATAGCTTTGTATACCGCAGAGTATCTTTACTAATAAAAGGCACAGGTACTACAAATGGGTACAATAAGAAAAAAGTAGAGGGACAGGACGTCAACTGTGTTTAGTAAAGTACATAGGATGCACAATCAATGCCGCATACTAAATACAAGCAACAAAAAGGAAATCTGACACAGTGTGATAGCTGCTAGCTGCTGATAAAAATATATCTACATAAATGTCTTTCAATGATTCAATCCGAGTTGGACAGAAACTGTAGGATCTTCTTCCTGTAATCCTCCCAGCTGAATGACTTATGATGAATCAGTGCTGTTTACAAGTTTAACATATTGTTAGTCAACATGTTTTTTGTGGAAAATGTCGATATCGCACATTTTTTAATAGGAAGAGCTGTGCAGTGAAAGTGCACCACTCCGCACTGTCTGACTTCCACAGACGAGCCATGAAACATCATCTCCCGCTGAAGACTTTGAATGCAGAAACAGTCCAGACGCTCGTCGTCTTCTTCTTTGTCGTCTTCCTCTTGTATGATGTTCTCGACCTCACACTGTACTTCAGCTTTTAAAACAGACCTCAGGGGGTTTTGGGCCCAGAAGCAGGTGGAGCCTCCTGTAGTTCTGTCTGCTCAGACGGTGCAGAATTACAACTCAACACGTTCTCCTCCCTCCTCTCCCCCGACAAGAAATCATGGATAGCAGTTTCTATATGCGGCCGAAAAGTGTGGTTCATCTTGGGGTCGACGACCTGAGTGATGATCCTGTCCACACCGGACTCCAGCATACCCGATCTAGACAAAACAGCATGCACAACATATCCTGTGAAAACAGTTGCACGATGACCTCATGTACAGTATCGCTGACTGGATTGAACTGCCATAAAATCATTAGCTGCAGACTAAAATGTTGCTCATCCTGAAGAAATTGAAAACAATTCTTCGACAAAAATATCCAACACTCATAAAGTAGCTGTTCACTTTACATTCTTGTTCCTTTGAGTTGTACAGGAGGACGATGAAGACAGTTGAAAGTAACACTTACTGGACAACACTTTGTCTCAGTCCGTTCCGCATCTGGTTCTTGTTGATGGACGGGTTCCAGTCCTGTGTGCTCAGGTGCGACGTGACGTAGTTGTCAACTTTCTGTCGCAGGTTCTGATAGGCAGGCTGGCAGCAACAACAGGGACAGCATGTAAACCCAGTCATTAAACAGTGATGCAGTCTAGAATACGGTAACATGGAAAGTATATTGTCACAACAATGAGAAGAACACACTGCTAAATGATTTATATTTATACTAGCAACGAATTAATGCCTAACGTAAGCACAATATAACGTTAGTTAAGTAGCGACTGAAGTTACGAGCTTAGCTTAGAGTCTGGTTCTCTAACCACAGCGGTAACTGTAACGTTAGCCAAGGCGGTGTTGTCGTTAGCCGACTGGCTTACCTTCGTATCAACGTCGGCGATACAGTCTCGACGGAACTCGTCAAAAAGCCCACGGTTCTTCAGATGCTCCACGATCATACCGATGAGCTGCGGGTCTCCCGGTGGAAGGTTGCCCGGACTGACGTTAACGTTATTGCTACCTTCCGCCATGACAAAACCAAGTAAAGGTCTGCTAACGTACCTGCTAGCTAGCTGAGCCGTGGGCGCTTGTTTTCTATATTCGTGCTGTCCTCAGCAGACTGCGGGCGGAGTGACCGTCGTAGACGCTATGGAAAAAACAGGTAGACGCTGTATAACAAATCGAGCGCTTCGTTTCCAGTTGACACGCATGCGCATTCCAAACGTGACATCGGAAGTACTTCATTAAATTGTCGGCTGGAAGGGTAAAACGTTTGCGCGTAAATCTAAAGGTAATATTTATTTAACACACTGGCTGAATTCTCAAAGCACAGATCGTTTCTGTGGTTGGGTCTTTAGACGGAGGGAATATGTTTCATTAAGCTTTGAACCTACCAGATTTTAGACTGGACTAACGTTATTGTTGTTAAAGGTAACGATGGCTAGCGTTAACCAATGTTAGCTGTGTTGGCTAACACCAAATAATGTATCGCTAACTATCCTAATACTCACAAGCACTCACCTTTAGATGTTACCCAAAAGGTCTGTAAAAGGTCTTTATTATGGGCAGTCGTCTGTTAGGACGGCCTGGAGCAAGCTGTTGACATGTTTTATAGGCTAAGCAGAGTCGTTTACTGTTTGTTTTTACAGCATTGGCTTGTCATATGTTTACTATCCTGCTTTGATATTATTGTTCAACCCCACATGCACACATAAATCTATGAGCACAGCGAAAAGACACACGTTGAGCTTCTTTGCCACATTGGGGTGTAATACAGCTGCTGTATACATGTCGAAATGGAATACTTGTTGACCTCGATCGTTTCATTGCTTGTTGCAGATGAGTGGTCAAGCAAATGCCAACAAAGAGTTTATGGAGCAGCTGCGGATGCAGGAGCTCTATGATCGGAGAAATGAGGGTGGCTCTGAACCCAACACCTACACGGACCCAGAGGATGGGACTGTGTATGACTGGGACCCTGAAAAGAAGGCCTGGTTCCCTAAAGTATGCTTTTGTTTTCCTACTTCATATTGTTAAGGTTTAAAACAAAGGATGAGAGGATGCAGGCCGCAGGTACTTTTCTGCTGCGAGCTTCTTACTGCGCACGCACATCAGAAAAATGAGCTGGATCCAGTTCAAAATTAAAAACAATATTTAATGTACTACACAAAGTTCACTTACAAACTGAATTAACTATCAATAGTAATATTTCATGAAATAGATGTCCGCCTCATGGTCCAGATGAGGTCTGATTATCTCCAGGGATTCACAGTTCCTTTGTCCCTCCAAAGTCTCTGAAATGTCTCATATTACACATTCCTCAGCCCATCGATCAGCTCAATGAGTGGCTGAACCCTTCGGACTTCAGTCGGCCACTTCCTTGACCAAGTCCTCCTCCCTTCTTGAAGGCTGTGCTCAGAAAGTCTTCAGCAACATCCCCCTCTCTCTGACTTTATGGCGGTGTCATAAATTCTCTGGTTTCTCTCACAGTGCACAGTACATTCAGTAACTCTCCCTTTAGTTTAAACCTTCTACAAGTAAACATATTGTAACACATAATATCCATTGCTAGGAGCGCATTAAAACTTAAATTCCTCACAATATATTTGTTCTTAACTATTTTTGTTGCTGTCTGCGCAGCAGTCTTTGACATATTCATATTATGGATTGTATCTCTGTTCTGTTTTGACTTACTGTGTGCAAGTTTGCTTGACTTTGCAATGCATAGTAGGGCTTAAGGATTTAGAATTGTTTATGATGTATGGTTTGCGACATTAGAGGAAATGATTATTGTTATATCATTATCCTAATTTTCATTGAAAAACATGATAATGGTGCGATTTTTGCGGGGATCTGTACCAAACAAAGATGGTTTTCTTAAGCCTGTAAATATGATGTGTTGGCCAGGACATCTCTGCAGCATGACAGTATTTAATTTAAAATGGTACGTTGACATCACACAAATATATGAACAAATATTACACAAATATTGCACAAATTGTAATAGGCCATATTGCGATTTCGATTCATTATGATTCATATACTATGCTGTTCTGACCGGGGGCGCTGTGGCATAGCAACAATACTGTTAACATAAAAGTTCAAGGTCTCCATCATACCAGCTTGTACTTGCCACTGACCACACTTGGCAATAAAATGCATTATTGGAAGCTGAAAATAGAGATGTCTATTCACCCTAAATTGGATCGCAGACCTCTTTTTGGTACATAGTCGTAACAGTTTCAGTGTTCATTTTAAGTAGGTTTTGCTTCGTTTCTCCAGATAACAGAGGACTTCATTGCTGCCTACCAGGCCAACTATGGCTTCACTCAGGATGGAGATCCAGATGTCAACAAAGCTGCAGTGAGCAGCTCCAACCCAGCAGCCCCAGAACCACACAGCAAGCCCTCAGAAAAGGAGAAACCAGGAGATTCCTCCAAGAACCAGGACCCAGACCAGCATGAGACCGCAGCTAAAGAAGACAAACAGAAAGGGGAGAAGAGAAAACCAGACCCAGGTAAAGTGACATCCACAACCATAGAGAAGAGACAAAACCAGTGGATTAACTAACACACAAATGGTAAACAATGGTGTTTTTTTTTTATGTATTGATGTATGTTTCCACCTTTACCCCTGTCTACAATAGTGATTATTACCAGTATTCATATTATGTACAATTTCTGAGTTTAAGTTTGTACAAACGTATCGTTTGATAAATGCTTTTTTTCCCCTTTCTCGTTCTTGTAGGATGGTTTGATATAGAGGAAAATAAAAACACCAACGTCTACGTATCAGGTTGGTTTTGATGAGAACATTTCTTTTCTCATTGTCGAGGAGACAGCTGTCGAGTGAATAGCTGACTCTGTTCATCCTGTCTCTCTCACTCTCTTCCTCCTCAGGCCTGCCTCCGGACATCAGCAATGACGAGTTTGCTGAGTTGATGACCAAGTGCGGCATTGTGATGCGGGACCCCGTTACTGAAGAGTACAAGGTCAAACTCTACAAGGATAAAGAGGGAAATCTGAAGGGAGATGGTCTCTGCTGCTATCTCAAGGTCCGTCTGTCCTTGCTTGTCTAAAGCTTCATTTATAGTTACCACACCTGCGTGACCACATTCCGCATGGCTTTTGGCTTGAATGACCCAGTATAGAGAAGAAGTATTAGTTGCAGTAGTATTGCTTTGCACTCCAGTGAAGTGACAGTATGTGTTTGTGATAATCTCTGCAGAAGGAGTCAGTGGAATTGGCTCTGCGTCTGATTGACGAGTCAGAGGTCCGAGGTTACAGACTCCACGTGGAAGCAGCACGGTTTGAGCTAAAGGGCCAGTACGACGCCAGCAAGAAGAAGAAGAAGAACAAAGATTATAGGAAAAGAATGCAGCAGCAACAGAAGTACATTCTACTTCCTTGTTCCTTTTTAGTTAACCTCTCACTAGTCCCTCTCTGCATCGAGGGATAAACAGCCAAAATGCTCAAGTGGATTAAGAGAAGACAAGTAATTGAGTATTTTCTTGTCTGTGTCTTTGTCCGTGCAGACAGTTGGACTGGAGGCCAGAGAAGCAAGGAGAATTGAGGAAGAGACATGAAAAAGTTGTCATCATTAGGAACATGTTCCACCCCAGTGATTTTGAGGTGCGGAGAGACAAACACACGCTCACACACACACACACACACTGTCCGTTGAGGATATTAATCTCTTGTAGTCTCTGTGTTGGCCTTCGTAGGAAGACCCACTGGAGTTGAATGAGTATCGTGAGGATCTGCGGGTGGAGTGTGAGAAGTTTGGGGAGGTCAAGAAGGTCATCCTCTTTGATGTGAGTTTAATGTCATTCATGCTCGTTCATAGTCACAGTAGAACGGTTTGCATTGTATGTTAGTGGCATCAATATGGAGCTGGTGTGTGGTTGTATTTGTGCTGCAGAGACACCCGGACGGCGTGGCGTCAGTCGCATTTAAAGAGCCTGAACAAGCCGATGCGTGCATAGAGTCGTTCAATGGTCGCTGGTTTGGAGGAAGGCAGCTGACTGCTGTGCTTTGGGATGGAACAACAGACTATCAGGTAAACCGAATGCAAAATACAAATGGGAATTTAGCAAGCAAGAAGGATGATGAAAATATGCCATTGAATTTAATTATGGAAATGCAGAATGGAGAATTTGTAAAGCTTTTGAAGCTAGTCATCACTCTTACCAACAAGTCATGTGATATTTGAGTTATTGTGATATCCTTGATTAACTTAAACTCTGCATCTGGAAAGAATTTGCGGCCTTAATGCTGATGCTGTTTGTGCAGGTGGAAGAGACAACGCGTGAGCGGGAGGAGCGACTGAAGGGTTGGTCCACTTTCCTGGAGGGAGGTGAGAAGGGCCTGCAGAACAACACTGCCAAGCCAGCAGAGGGCAGCACCACCGAAACAGAACCAACAGAACCCTCCAGCACCACGGAGCCCGAACAGCATCCCGAAACAGAACCACAGAAAAAGGAAAAGGAAGAGGAAGCAGACTCTACAGATAGCAGCCTGGAAGGAAGTGATGACGAGAAAGCCTAGATACCTAAATGCACATCTTTGGTCCCCTTGGCAAACAATCAGGACAGTCCTGCTAGATTGTGAACTGTGGTAAACACCCGTTCTGTGCAGGTGAGGAAGAGGAGGAGGAGGAGGTTTGAGCTGTTTTGTAATGTAGAAAAATAAAATTATGATTTTGTCTACCCTATTTTCACTATTTTGGTTTACACTGTAATTTGACCTGCACTTGAGAAGCTCAGCACAGCTTTCCCTGAATTTCAATGTGCCAGTTTGTTTGCAGTTTTGTGTTGATAACCCTGAAATATTGATGAATTACAAAAGACAACTTGCACAAAGGGACACTTACTTCGGGTTGAATCATTAAGTACGCAAATTTATATTGTTACATGGTATAGATCATCATATCGCCCAAACCTTGTAGAAAGTACATATGTATGGTAGTAAAAAGTCCAAATATCATAACACCAAACTTCAAAATAAGTTTAAGTTTCAACGCAGAGCACACATATAACAGAATTATTTTTCATTTCCACAGTCGTTGCATGTGTGCTTAAAACAGCAACTTCTTTTGTGATTTTCATAGATGGTACAGACACCGTGCTGGCTACTTGGGTTCCAATGTGTCCAGACATACATTATTTAATGCTAAAGGGACTTCAAAACAAGAACCAACACACTTAAATGTTCACCAGATAGATAGTGCATCCACTATATAAATTCAAACAAAAATAGATAATTGCGCTTTTCCTTTTTGGTGTCCAGTATCTGGATCTCTGAGGTGGTAACAGGGTCATGTGCTATAAGACTACAAACTTATTATTACAAACACACACAATCCCTTTGGATGCTGTCTTGTAAATATGAGCATCGATGTGTTTAATAAAGTTGTTTGGATTTGTAACGTTTTGAAGTCTCATGACATCTCATTCTGAAAACTGTAATGACACAAGATACAGATTGTGTTTCATTTAAACCTTGTGACAAAGTGAGTTACAACCTGACCAACAGAGAAGCGTCTCAGTGCAAAACTATGGAAAGTACACCAGAACTACAAGTAAATACTCCAGATCCAATACTACTACAGTATCTGTGTTCAATAGATATGGAGAAAGGCAACAAGGTAAGACTTTCTGAGCAGGGGACACATACAGATGTTATTTTAGTGCTACACTTACAGTCAGGGCCATAAGTATTTGGACTGTGACACAATTTTTCTGATTTTGCCTCTTTACACGACTCCAATGGATTTGAAATGAAGCAGTCAATATGTGGTTGAAGTGTAGACCTTCAGCTCTAATTCAATAGATGAAACTACAATATCACATTAACCGTTTAGGAGTTACGGCCATTTTTACACAGTATACCCCACATCTTCAGAGGCTCAAAAGTAATTGGACAATTGTCTGACAAACGGTTTCATGGCCAGATGTGGTCGGTTCTGTCACTATTTCATGACAAATGATGCAGATGATAGGATCTAAAATGTTAAATTAGCATTTGGTAGCTGGTCCTTGGAACTCAGCATGAAACCAAAAAGGTGTCAATGCAAGTGAAGGAGGCCGTTATTAGGCTGAAAACACTTAACAAACCTATCAGGCAGATAGCAGAAACATTAGGATTGACCAAATCAACAGTTTAGTACATTCTTAAAAAGCAGGAATTCACTGGAAAGCTCACCAACACCAAAAAGCCCAGAAGACCACGGAAGACATCTAAAGTGGTTGATCTCAGAACTCTTTCCGTGGTGAAGAAAACCCCCTTCATAACATCTACTGAAGTCCAGAACACTCTGGAGGATGTAGGCGCGTCATTGTCAAGAGACGCCTTTTCATCTTTTGTCTGAATCTTCAACAAATACAATTATTTTGAATAGTTTTTAAGAGAAGGGTAGCCTGATATTAAGATGAAATGGACACTCATTTTCCCCCATATTATTTATAGGCTATTAATTATATTAAAGAGATGTGGACAGTAAGATGAAAGAGTTAGTTTTTTCATGACCACAATTGTTTCTAAAGTTTATCAGACATTTGACCTGTAGTGTGAGAAGTTTTACAACATGATCAATCAATCTATCAAGTTTTGATTGCAGTAGTAGACTTTTCGTGTCACTGTACTTTAGTCTACGTGACAAGTTTTTCGTGGATTGTATCATTTTGATTAGTGCTGGGCAACGATTAAAATTTGTAATCGCGATTAATCGCATGATTTTTCCGCAATTAATCGCATTGTTATGAGCAAAGTTCAATAATGAATTCAAAAGTAGTGTATTGCGCACTTTTATTTAAAAAGTACTGCTATATGAACAAAAACGCAGTAACATTTGGTTTGCAAACACTTTAAACAAATAAGGTTCTTTTTAACAGCAGTATTCCCTTTAGCAGTTATAATACAGTTATGATTCTGATAATAGATATTCAGCCGGTGTTCACAACTTTATCTTCATGTGTGTTATAGATGCAATTTGAAATATACACCTTGAAAACTGCAAACCTATCTACGTCATGTCATCATTTTGCTAATGATTCTCAAACTTTGGAGCATCTACACTCCTGCCTCACCACTAGAGAGCACTGTGATCCTGCTGGTGCCTCTGATGGTTGGTGAACTTTGCTTTATTACAAAGTAGATATCAGAGTTATGTCACATTGGCACCATAACAGGACTGGCTTTTTAAAGTTTAAGTTTTGAAACCTTGCAAATATTTTCAAGGTTTCAAAATAAATATTACTTGCAGAAAGCAGTGGAAAGTAACTATGTACATATAATGTGCTGAAGTCAAATTTGAGGGTAATATGTTTTTTCTTAGTCACTTAAGTGACAACATTGTTCAACATCCGAATCATTTAGTCACATGTACTCATTTATAAAGCCTCTTCATTTCATATCCTTTGGCACATTCATGCAAATGATTATGTACAATTGTCAGCATGTTTGCTACATTATCAATTCTTACATCATGTTGATTAAAATGTGTTGTGGTTCTCTGTTGAATACACCCAAAAACATCTTAGTTCACTGCATAAGTCATTACATGAAATACGGTTATGTTGTTCTGTAATTGAGAGGAAAACCATTTTTGAATTCAGAATTGCAATAGTAAATAACATAATGTAACCAGGGAGTGATTGGGAGTGGTGGTGCAGTTCTGTTTCATAGATGAAAGTATGCAGGCTGAGTAACATCAACAAGTAACATGTTGATTTGTGCCTCAACAGACTCTTGACCGGAGGGGAAGGAGATCAGATTTAACCAAAGTAGATTTGGTACCTTCAAGGAACCTCAGTTGGAGTTGTACTTTACTTAAGTATTTTTGCCATATCAAACAATTTTGAGCCAATTTTAATGCAAAGATATTATACAGTAACTCATATAGTTTCTTTGTAAATACATTGAACACAATACTTGAACACTGTGTTCTCTGTTTTCCAATAAACTGTGACTGCAACACAATTTGACAGTAATGCAACACTATTATATGAGTCAACAAGAAGGCGCAGACAGAAAGATATGGGGCAGGAGCAGAGACGGAGGAGGAAATGGACAGAGCATGTGAAAGCAGGGTCTGTGTGTGTGTGTGTGTGTGTGTGTGTGTGTGTGTGTGTGTGTGTGTGTGCATCTGTCTGTGTGTGTGTTCTGTTCCCTGGAGTCCATCCTGGAGATCGCTTGGGAAAAAGACCTCTAGGTCTGCCCGAGGTCTGACATGCAGCCAAGAAAAGCAAGATTAAAATAGTGAGAGAGAGAGAAAGAGAGAAGAAGAGAGAGAGAGAGAAAGAGAGAGATGGAAGATGGAGAGGGGGTGAGAGGAAGGAGAGCTGAAGAGATGGAGAAAGAGTGCGGGCAAAGAGCTTTGTATCTGTGGAGAAAATGTATGGAAAATAAAAACATTCACATGGTGTCACACACACACACACACACACACACACACACACACACACACACACTGCTGATTGGAACCATATGCTGACAGACAGAGAGAATAATGGGAAACTGTGAATTGTTTAATTTGTTTTCCCTCTTTGTTGCGTTGCAGAGTGGATGGAGAGTGGCGGGAGTGGAAGGCTTCCATGACCAAAGATGACGATCAGCCATGGGAAATTCCAGCCAGTAGATGTGTCCAATGAGCTGCATGGACAACAGGTCCTGCTCCATTAACAGCGTGCATGAAGGGGAGGGGGGGGGATTTCTCAGTGTGTGAACTAGGAACTTGAGCAATGAGGTGCCCACAAAGTCATGTACTGAGTACAAATGGTGATTCTGACACTCACTGATCACAAGCCAATTTTACTGTTGACCAATGAAGTTATTTCTCTCTCTCTCTCTCTCTCTCTCTCTCTCGCTCTCTCTCTCTCTCTCTCTCTCTCTCTTTCACACACACGTACACACATAACAGACTTTTACTGATCCTCTACAACAAATCCAAAAGCTGCTGTTTGTTATTCGGTTAATTCAATTAACTATTTAATAGAACAGAGAAAACGCCTCCGTAGTTGGCCTCAACAAGGACAACAACGTCTCAAGGACAAGACAATAATACTTGCGTCTGTCATGAAAATAACAGTGATTCCACCTTATGATGGATATGAATAGTTGAGTTCTTTAGAAAGTATGGGAAAGGTATCTAGCAATCAATCTTTCTATTTTACTTTCCATTTGGAGTGTTGGGCCAGCTTTTTAACTGGTAAGACAGGATGAAGACAAACACCTGTGCTCGACAGTAAGTCATGCATCTAGAGTGTTAAGTTCAGAGATACAATAGAGTAAGGACATTTTTGGCCAGTTACACATGTTTCCAATAACTGAAAAATGACTAAATAAATAAATAGAGGAAGCAAGTGAGTGGGAGACCGAGAGTGAAAAGAAGGAGGAAAAGCAAGGTTGATTTGCTGCAGATGCTCCACTCTACTGGGAAAATGACATAAGGTTGATTCTTTATGGAAATGGGCGTGTTTTTATTGGTATGTGGGTTAGTGAAAAAGACTGTATCTTGCATTTTCAAAACAAAATTGCACCAGCGGAAGGGACCAGCAGCAGCTTAATGATTACAGAAGTGAGTCTGCCATCACAAGGTGGTTTGAGTCTTGAACAGGGGGAAAGAACAGATGAAGGTACACTTCTCTACCTTTACCAAGATACCCTTGAGCAAGGCAGCCTAGTCTCTTCATTCTCCATCTTGTATTCTTGTAGAACGTAATCCTAGTAGAGGAAAAGTCACCAATTTGAATTAATTCATGTAAAATGTACTTTTATTTTCAGTGTTTTTTTTGGTTTAAACATGTTTAGTTATGCATAGCTGCAGATCATTTTATTTTGAATATAAAAAAATGCATACATTCCAGATTTTACATCCAGGAAGCACATTAATATCACGAACCTCAAGCTGCGACAGGACCTCTGAACTTGCGATGAATTTTGTTTTGGCCACTTGGGGGCAGCAGAAAACACAACACTTGACAAGTAAGCTTTAGTTTGTTAGCCAAGTATAAAAACACTTTTTGCAATATTCTGTATATAAATGAATAAATGCAAACAATCTCAAGTAACTAAGAAGGCAGAAAAGGAAAAAAATAATGAAAAAAAAGAGCAAAACCTTTAGGGAATGGTCTCCATTTATTTTAGCATAACAACAGCCGTGTGAATGTTCAGAGTCCTGACCACATCTCTCTCTCTCTCTCTCTCTCTCTCTCTCTCTCTCTCTCTCTCTCT